AAAAAATGGAAACAAAGTCTTTGTAAATAGGGAAGGGTGGAGGGGATGAAGGGAGGGCTAGGAATGGGGAAAAAATAACCAAGATGCATCATGTAAAAGTACTAAGAAAACAGTACAAAGAATAAGTGAATCAAATAGTTGGTTTTTTGAAGGATTAAATAAAATTGAACAACCCTTAGCCAACCTTATCAAAAAAAAGGGAAAGACTCAACTCCATGCAATTAGGAATGAAAAGGGTGAAATCACAACAGATCCTGCAGCAATCCGGAAGATCATCAATACCTACTTCGAGAACCTGTATTCTAATAAGATGGAAAACACAGATGAAATGGACAGATTCCTAGATACATATCGGGCCGGGGATTTAGCTCAGTGGTTCCGGCGCCTGCCTCGCAAGCACAAGGTCCTGAGTTCGATCTCCGGTACCAAAAAAAAAAAAAAAAAAAAAGATACATATGAATTACCAAAGCTAAATCAAGAAGATATAAAAATTCTAAACCAGTATCAGTCAATGAAATTGAAGATGTAATTAAGAAACTATCAACAACAAAAAGCCCAGGCTCTGACTGATTCACTGCTGAGTTCTACAAGAAATTTAGAGAAGACCTAACGCCACTGCTTCTCAAATGCTAATGAAATTGAAAGGGAAGAAATACTCCCAGATTCATTCCTGGAAGCAAACATTACCCTGATACCAAAACCAGAGAAGGATCCAACCAAAAAAGAGAACTATAGGCCAATCTCCCTAATGAATATAGACGGAAAAATCCTCAAAAAGATACTAGCAAACAGAATGCAGCAAATCATCAAGATTATACATCACGACTAAGGATTCATCCCAGGGATGTAGGAGTGGTTCAACATACACAAATCAATATATGTAATACACTATATTAACAGAGTCAAGGACAAAAACCATATGATCCTCTCAATAGATGCAGAAAAAGCATTTGACAAAGTCCAGCACCCATTCGTTAAAAACCCTACAGAAAATTGCAATAATCTTTATCTCAATCTGATAAAAGCCATCCACAGATCAACAGCCAACATCATCCTAAATGGACAAAAACTAAAAGCTTTCACTCTAAAATCAGGAAAAAGACAAAGATGTCCACTGTCACCATTGTTATTCAGCATAGTTCTGGAAACGTTAGCCAGAACAATTAGACAAGAGAAAGAAATAAAAGCAATAAGGACAGGAAAGGAAGAAGTTAATTTATCATTATTTGACATGATATTCTGTATAAAAGACCCCAAAAACTCCACCAAAAGACTTCTAGATTTAATAACCAAATACAGTTGCATAGCTGGATACAAAATCAGCATGCAAAAATCAATAGCTTTCCTGTACACAACTCACTGAGAGAACAATTAGTGAAACCACACCTTTCACAATAGCATCCAAAAAAATGAACTACCTAGGAATCAAAGCTGTGAAGGAAGTAAAAGACCTTTACATGGAAAACTATAGCATTCTGAAAAAGGAGATCAAAGAAGATAATCAGAAAATGAAAAGATATATCTTGTTCTTGGGTAGGAAGAATATAGTGAAAATAGCCATACTTCCAAAATTGTTACACACATTTTATGCAATTCCAATCAAAATTCCAATAGCATACCTCACAGAACTAGAGAAACACATGGATACTCTTTGCACCCTCCCCTGTATCTTGCCCTAAGCATCCCTTCCATTTGGCCATTCCAGAGCAGTATTCTCTAAACTGTTAATAGCATGAAACCAAATAATAAAAAGAATGAAACAATATTACATGTACTGATATGGAATACTTTCTAAGATATATTAGGTGAAAAAAGTAAATGCAGACAATGTGGGAAGAGTTCCACCCATGTAGGGTTTCAGAAGACAACTGATAAAAGCAATCACTGAGGGAAAGTGGCTTTGGGATAAGAATAAAAGGAATACTCACTGAGTAGCACTTCTTTTTCATTTTTTTATCATGTTCATATATCTTTACAAAAATAAATTTTAATTTTTTAATGAAAAAGGATCTACAGGTTTGAATCTGGAGAGGTAATTGCAATGTATAAAGAATAAAAAGTTGCAGAGTAATCTATTCACAATATAACCCCATTTATGTTAAGACACTAAAACCAAGAAGTATGGATAAAAAATAAACAATATAAGCAAACTATTTTTATGAGTTCTGTGAGCTGGCCTAGCAAATTATCAAACTGGGGGGGATGTTCTTAGGAACCTGATTTGTAGAAATCAGAAGTGTGGGTAACTGAGAACAAATACTTGGCAGTTGCCATCTGAAGTGAAGGCAGTCTTGTGTAATTTACCAGATGGAGGGTCCCCTGGGGATTTTTTCCAAGTTCTTAGTGTACTAGACAAAGAATCAGACAAAAGACACAAGTGTACATTTACTGAAGGGAGAAGAGGTGGCCTCTGCAGGGCATGACCAGGCTGGTGAACAGATTCACAGAAAACCTGAGGATAAGGGAAAGGGACATTTTGCATCCAAAATTCCTGGATTGGCTTTCCCCTCATGCAAATAAGGCATTGGGATAATTTTCCTAGCAAAAAACTCACTTGGTCTGGTGCCAGATTTAAACTGCCTTATCAAAAGAGTCACTTGGTGCTGGAGATTTAGCTCAGTGGTTCCGGCCCCTGCCCAAGTGCAAAGACCTGAGTTCAATCCCTGGTACCAAAAAAAAAAAAAGTCACTTGGCTTCCCACCAGATCTAAATAAAGGATTGAAAATACTGCTGATCGGTTCCATGTACAGTGCTCAGGAACTATAGATTTTGGTTCCTTTGTTATGCACATCTTCCGGGTTTTTATGACTTTTGACACATTCCATCCAGTTAATTGTCTGGTTTGCCTCAGCCCTAATCTGTCTCAGGATTGAGCCGTAAAACCTGTGGAGTCTCATGCTAATGCTGGTATCTTAGTCAATTTCTCATTACTGGTACAAAATACCCCATACCCACAAGTTAAAGGAAGAAAGGTTTTTTTGGGTTTTTCTCAGTACCGGGGATTGAACTCCGGACCTTGCGCTTGCAAGGCAGACGGCGGAACCACTGAGCTAAATCCCCAGCTCAAAAGGTTTATTTTAGCTCAGTCTGTAAGGGTTTCAGTCCATAGCGGGCTGGTTCAAAGGCAGGGTGGCGTAGCAGAGGAGAAAACAGTTCATGGCATGGTAGACAGGAAGAAGCCAGACTTCCTTCTTCATTCCCTTTTTATTCCATCCAGGCTGTATAAGCCTATTGGTTGGTTCCACTCACAGCCAGGGTGGGTCTTCCCTCTTCAGTGAATCCATGATCCACATCCAGAACTATGCTAAACCAATCAGTGGACAGATCCAGTATCAGACGCCCATGATACAGTCACTCCCAAAAGCCCCACCTATGAGTGCATGAGGCTTTGGGGGGACATCTAGATAATAAGCCATAACAGCTGGATAGTGTCAGTATTGAATTATAGGACACTGGTTGGTGTCCAGAGAATTGGAGAATTGCTTTGTTTGGAAAACCTCTACACATTTGGTGTCAGAAGTATTAGGAGTAAAAGCAGCTGTGTATTATAGTGGCTTTTCATTATGTAATTCAAGGTTAAAAATATTTTTCATGCCTTATTATATCAGCATGGGCAGGTCACAGTCTCACTGAGCCTTAGAAGTTTCCTGAAATGAAAAATGAAAATGCTACTATCTTAAAGGATTATGGCAAGGATTAAATAATAAGCCCTTATAAAGCACCCAATGCACAGTAGATACTTGATAAGCAATTCCCTTTTTCTAGCAACAGAATAGAGTGCTATGCTGTACTTTATGTTCCCGAGTGCAAATGAAACTTCTGTCCTGTTTACAACCCAAAGACAGAATGTGATGATCTATGTCAAAACAGACAGCAGATAGCTAGTTTGGAGAAAAGGAGAATGTGTGTGTAATGGTGAGTGAGGAATGGATTAGTGGTCAGCAAAGTGACCTGGGGCAGGCAACCAATGAGAATGAAAGCTAGCACAGGTACCTTCTATGTTAAAGTGAAAGCATAAGCCTTAATGGAGATGTTTTAGATTTGGAATGTACTGACAAGCTCTAGCCTGAACTAAGGTATTTCCATATGCATTTTCCAGTATCATCTCAGTGAAAGAAAGTAAATGGAAAAGAAAACACTTGAGAAAAGTAACTTTAATTGTCTTATCTGAATTGTGATATACAGAAGTAATCCCTTTTAGTGTAAAATAGAATAATTTTACTAAAACTTCAGGCTGGGTGTGGTGGTGTACACATATAATCCCAGCACCCTGAGAGGATGAGGCACGAAGACTGCAAGTTTGAGCCCAACCTGGACAACATGGGGACTTAGCAAGACCCTGTCTCAGCATAAAAAAAATGACTTTAAGACCTAGTATTACCAAAAAACCCCCAAAAGACACAGTTCCTTAAGTTTATAGTATGCCTAAAAGAAAAAATATTCAAGTGAAGAAATAGTAACCTGATGCTCAGAAAAATAATATATTGGGGGAGGGGGAACAGGAGCTAGGAGGCAGAGGCAGAACTTGCTTTATGAGATCTTTCTTGCTTAAGCACAAATGCTTCATGCTGCCAAAGGACACAAGGAAACAAAAATCGACTCATTCGGTTCCACTTTAAAAATGCAATAAACAAATGGGCATGATGCACACCTGTAATGCAGAACTCAGGAGACTAAATCAAGTTATAGTAGGACTCTATCTCAAAAGACAAACAAAACCCCCACAAAACCACAACAAATAGATCACAACTTCAAGTGTTGCTAAGTTGCTTATACAAACTCAAAGTCATAAGCATGACTTCAGGATCAGAACTTTTTATATCAAGCGCTTTAACTAGGCAGTTTAAGGCCTCCTGTATTTTCCCACACTGTTTCAGTTCTTTTCCTTGAGTTATAAGAGTCTCATAATCATTTGCAGCTTCCATTGCCTTATCTTGGGGAGAATCAACCACGAGCCCAGCAGACAAAGGGTCAGGAGAACCAGGAGAGGTTGGTAGGCTGGAGTCTAGTGGCTTAGACACAGTTAGCCCACCAGACTTATTTTCTGCAGATGGCCTTTCTCCAGAAGGATCTTCTGTATGCTCTGAAGCTTTGTCACTGCTTTCTTCTGCTCCTTCCTTCAGATCATCTCCAGTGCCCTCTGCTTTACTGTTGTCAAGTCTTTCCTCCATATCCTCCACATGGTCTAAAACCACATTAATCAGAGACCTTCTAGAAGCTAGAGATCTCCTAGGGTTTACAGACTTATTTATACTATCAGATATTTTGGGTGAAAAGAATCTTCCAGGTAGACTGTCATCTTTGGGAGTAGAAGCATCAAATTGTTTCACAGATGAGAAATGATAGAGAGACGTGCTGAATGGACTTATGCTTGAAGTACCTTTAAAAGAATCATCTTCATCTTCATCATCTGAAACGATCCTTCTAGCTTTGCTTCTGTTTTTAACATTAACTACCACTTCTTCTGGGTCATTGTCTTTCTTAGAAGAATCCAAATTGCTGTGCACAGACTCTGCACTACAGTTAGCTGCAGAGCCACACAAGCTATTTTCTTTCTCAACATACTCCAAAGACTGAGTGGAGAGATTTTGTGTATTGTCTGCAGAGTCTTCCAGGAAAAGATTGAAGTCGCAAGCATACTGAGGCAAAGATGCTACAGGTTCCCCTTCTGACTTGGCCTCATTTGCTTGGGCACCCTGCAGTACACTATGGGATGCTGACAATTCATTAGATATTTCAATAACAGATACATTTGATTTTGTGTTTTGATTTTCATTTGTTATGGGATTGCTGGGCCAGATACTATAGTGATCGAAAATCTTATCATCCTGTAGATCTAGATTTGGTGCAAGATCAGCTTTGACTGATTGGCTAGCTAAATAATTAAAACTTCCCAAGGGGTTCTCTTGCAGTGCCTCTTGCTCAGGCTCTTCTTGTAATGACTTTTTTTGCAGAGCCTCGTTTTCAACCGCAAAGCTTTTTGCGGTTCCCTGTAATGAGGCAGTCCAGATTTCTTCTACACTTCCAAACTCCTTGGTTAATGTAGCTACAGAGTCAGTATGAAATGTATTTTCACATGAATGCATACTATCTTGTAGCATGGTCATATGCATCTTTACACTGGAGAAGTCTTGATCCTCAATGCTTAAATTTGCCATTTGAAAACTGATAACTCCTTCCTGGGTAGGATGAGTAGTTGTAAGAGATGAAGGCCAGTGTTGTGGTTTCTTCAATTCAGGGCATTTCTTCTTTGTTTGAGAAAAAAACAAAGGTGCTGTTGGCCAGGCCCCCTCATTTCCAGTTCTTTGTTTTTCCACTGTATTTTGAGACTCGAATTCAACAAGGAATTGAGCTTTCTGAACTCTTTGCTGAATATACTGAGATTCTTCTATCACATCGAGCTCTTCTTTAACAGACAGATCACGTGTATATATCAAATCATGGTCTGAGATTCCAGCTATTCCCAGAGAGTGTAGGTAGGTAATGTGTTCATCTAGGGTCTTATCAGATCTCCTTTGAGCAGCATGCAGTGACTGAAGCTGCAACTGAGTTGCAGAGTTCTGGAGATCCTCAACTGTAAAGAGCTCTCTTAATTCTTGTTTATTGAAATAGCGGTATGGATTCTTCTTATCACCAGTAGTTTGTCTGATTAATGAGCCCTTGAAAACCTGTCTTCTGTATATTTTTTCCTCTACAGTCCCACAAGTGATTAGCCTATAAACCACAACATTTTCTTTTTGTCCAATTCGGTAAACCCTATCCACAGCTTGAGCATCAGTTGCGGGATTCCAGCTAGGGTCAAAAATGACCACTCTAGTTGCTGCAGTTAATGTTAAGCCAACACCACCGACTTGAGTGGTAAGCAGAAAAACAGAATAATCTTTATTTTGCTGGAATAAGTTAATCCTTTTTTCTCGTTCCAAAAGATGAGTAACTGTGCCATCAATTCGCAATATCTTAAAATGTTTATTCCTTAAGAGGCGTTCAATGATGTTTAGAATTTGTCTTGATTGAGAAAATACTAGAGTTTGATGCCCTTCATCTCGCAGTCTCTTCAGCAAGTCAATTAAGAATATCATTTTTCCAGATTCTTCCATCAGTGTATCATCAGTTACATGAGCAATGGCATCCACATCTGAGGAATCTTCCTCATTTCCATCTTGACCAGAGATTTTGGCAGTCCCTAGATGCAGCAAATGACAAACCCGTGTAGACAGAAGCCTAGGATGATCACACAACTTCTTTAAGACTCCTAACTCAGCCAAGGGTGAGCGTGTCTCCATTAACAACTCCTTGATGTGATCTAAAGACACAAATTTCCTGTATATTTCTTCTTGTAAAGGTACAAGACGTATCCAAATAATTAAATCATTTTTCCTGGAAAGAGAAGGCATTTCACAGATGGCATCAACACCTGAATTCTTTTCAGTGGGTCTGACCTCTGGGATGTTTGACTTTGTCTTCTGTACTTCTTCTTTAGTCCTCCTGAGAAAATAGGGTTTTATTATTTCCATCAAGTTTTCAGATATCTTAAGTCCCAAGGCTTTTTCCCCTGGAGTAGCATCCTTCTCTCTTGCTCTAACAATAGGATTTTCATACTCCATTTTAAAAGTTTTTAATGTTCCTAGCAGGGATCCTTGGCAAGCAAAGTCAAATAGGGACCATAGTTCCTGTAAATTATTCTGAATTGGGGTTCCTGTGAGGAGGAGGCGATTACTTGCGGGGATAGCACGAGCACATATTGCTGATTTAGTAGATGAGCTCTTTATTTTATGTGCTTCATCAAGGATGACATAGTCCCACACAAATACTTGGCCATTACAGCTTGAAAGCTGCTGCCAATTGTTGATTAACATTTGATATGTAGTGATAACAACACCATTCCTTTGCTGAACCCGGTTGAGGCTTCTGGTACGTTCATCCTTGCTAGGGCCGTGAAAAGTTTTGACTCTCATTCCTGGAGTCCATTTAGAAAATTCTTTTACCCACATGCTGATGAGATTGGTTGGCATGATTAACAGCGCATGATTCACAAGTGAAGCATCAAACATACCAGAGAGAAAAGCAATAATTTGAACAGTCTTCCCCAATCCCATATCATCTGCCAAGATACCTCCTTTTCTTTTATCCTTGTATAGACTGTAGAGGAAAGCTACACCTTCCTTCTGGTGCTCAAATAGTTGGTTGTACAGTTCTCGATAAAGTAGCAGGCCAGAGTTGCACACATCTGTAAATTCATCATCTTCATGTTCTTCCAACTCTTCCAAGGCTTCCTGTAGTTTCTGGATTCTGCTCATTAGCTTTTCATTGGGAAAAATGTCCTTTGCAAAACTGAAAAGCTTAAGTGCTTCCTCCAGATCTCCATTCTTAGTTGCTTCTTTGGCCTCTTTCACATATCTACAAAAAAGATTAAAAAAAATTATACACATAACATCAAAAGGAAATAGATTGAACATTCAGTATTCAGTCTAAGAAAGCTTTAGAGTTCATTTCAGAATCTAAACTGTAGCTGGGTTTTTAACATCCTCAATTCTGGATGGGAAAGATTAGCACAGAAGATGCCAAAGAAAGCCATCATATGTAAAGAATTTTCTAAACTTAACAGAAAAACCGTATAATCCAGTTAGGAAAAGACAAAAGACATGCACAGAAATTTCACTGGAGAAGATATATAGATGCCATATAAGTACACAAAAAGATCACCAACATCACTTAGCCATTAAGGATGTGTCAATTAAAGCCACAATGAGCTGGGCATGGTGACACACACCCTGTCCAGCACATGGGAGTCTAAGGCAGGAGGATCACCATGAGTTTAAGGCCAGCCTGGGCTACATAGTGAGTTCAAGGCCAGCCTGAGCTACATACTGAGACCCTGTCTCTAAAACCACAGCGAGAGCTTGGGATGTAGTTCACTGATAAAGCACTTGCCTAGCATGTATAAGATCCTGGGTTCAATTCCTAGGATTACAGAAGGGGAGGGGAGGGGATGGGAGGAGAGAAGAGAGGGGGAGGGGGAGGAAGAAAAGCAGCAGCAGTAGTAGCAGCAGCTGCTGCCATCACTTAAGCAAATAGCCAGGTGCAATGGCACAGGTCTATAATCCCAGCAATGTAGGAGGTTGAGGCAGGAGGATCTTTTTTTTTTTTTTTTGAGGCAGGGTCTCCCTCTGTAGTTCAGCCTGGCCCTGAACTCACTATGTACCTCAGGCTGGCTTCAAATTCGTGAAGATCCTCCTGCCTCAGCCTCCCAAGTGCTGGGATTATAGGCATGAGCCACCATGCCCAGCCAGATACAGGAGAATCTTGAGTTTGAGGTCAACCTGAGCTACATAGTGACTTCAAGGACAGTCTGGACTACACAGCAAGACCCTGTCTCAAAAAACCGAAACTAAACCAAAACAAAACAAAAGAGAATAAGAACTGAGCGCTTGCTTGGTGTGTGTGGGGGTAACATCCCTGCATATCTGGGTCAGAAGTGACCTATGTTACAACGTATTTCACAGAATTAGCAAAAACAATCTTAAAATTCATTTGGAACCAGAAGAGACCTAGAATAGCAAAGGCAATCCTGGGCAACAAAGACAAGGCAGGGGACATCACAATCCCTGACCTGAAATTACACTACAAAGCTACTGTGATAAAAACAACATGGTACTTGCAAAAGAACAGACCCAAGGATCAATGGAACAGACTAGAGGATACAGAAACAACTCCAGACATACTCAGCCACCTTATCTTTGACAAAGAAGCCAAATAGCCTCATTGGAAGAAAGATACCCTCTTTAATAAATGGTGCTGGAAATACTGGCTTTCCACATGCTGAAGATTGAAACTAGATGCATATCTTTCACCATGCACTAATCTAAAATCAAAATGGATCAAAGATCTAAATATTAAAACAGAAACACTAAATCTCCTGGAAGAGAGAATAGGTAGAATGCTTGAGGACATAGGAGTAGGCAAAGACTTCATGAACTAAACCCAGATTGCATGGAAAATGCTACAAAGAATCAACAACTGGGACCTTATCTTATTAAAAAGCATTTGCATAGAAAGAGAAACCACCAACAGAGTGAAGAGACAACCCACAGTGTGGAAAAATTTTTACCAGCTATTCAGATAAAGAACTATTATCTAGAATATATAAAGAACTCAAAAAACCAGACCCCCCCCCCCAAATTTAAAGACCCAATCCAAAAATGGGCATCTGAAATGAAGACACTTCTCAGATGAAGAATTAGAAACAGCAAATAAATATATGAAAAAATGTTCAACATCACTGGTCATTCATGAAATGCAAATTAAAACAAATACTGAGATGGGCTAGGGATTTAGCTCAGTGGTGCCGCGCCTGCCTTGCAAGTGCAAGGTCCTGAGTTCGATCCTCCTCGGTACCAAAAAAACAAAAAAAACAAAACACTGAGATTCCATCTCACTTCAGAAAGAATGGCTGCTATCCAGAAATCAACCAATAACAAATGCTGGAGGCTGTGGGGACAAAGGAACCCTTCTCCACTGTTGGTGGGAGTGTAGACTGGTGCAACCACTGTGGAAATCAGTGTGGAGCATCTTCAAACAACTAACATTAGAGGTTCCATTTGACCCAGCTATCTCTCTTCTAGATATCATCCCGGAAGAATTAAAAGCATCATGCCACAATGATATATGCACATTTATGTTTATAGCAGCACAGTGTGTAATAGCTAAATCTTGGAAACAGCTCAAATACCCATCAGCTGATGAGTGGATAAAGAAGATGTGGGGGTTTTTTATACAATGGAGTACTACTCAGCCATAAAGAAGGATGAGATTGAGACATTTCTAGCTAAGTAGATGTACCTTTAGACCATACTCTTAAGTGAAATAAATTGGACGCACATGTTTAAATACTGCATTGTTTCACTAGTGTGAGAAACTGAAAGTAGAAATAAGGACTGAAATGTATAATAGATGTTGGGAAATGGGAAGAAAGTGTTTAAAAGAAAAGGGGAACAAGGGAGGAAGGAGGGGAAAGGGAAGTAGGGACAAGAAAAAAATAGAAGGAAAAAATGGAAACAAAGCTTTTGTATATAAGGAGGAAAGAGAGGTTGGAGGGGGGAATGGGGAAAAAAGCAAGATATATCATGTACAGATACAAATTCCCTATGATGAATGTTATTATGTATATCTAAAATGTACCATAAATGTTTTGCTAAAAAAATGCACAAATAGAGAAACCTATATATACATAGGAAGAAGATTAGTGGTTGCAGATGAAGGGGGCAAAAAGGAAATGAGAGTTATGGCTAAAAAAAAATTTTTTTTTTGCACGGCACAGGGGATTGAACCTGGAATCTCATGCATGCTAGGCAAATACTCTACCACTGAGCTACATCCTCAGCCTTTTTAAAACTTTATTTGCCAGGGCCGGGGATGTAGCTCAGTGGTTCTGGCTCCTGCCTCATAAGCACAAGTTCCCGAGTTTGATCACCGGTACCAAAAAACAAAACAAAACAAAACAAAAAAAACCAAAAACCAACCAACAAAGAAACAAACACCCCCCCCCAAAAAAAACCAAAAAAACCCCAAAACTTTATTTGCCCAGGCTGGCATCAAATTTGCGATCCCCCTGCCTCAGCCTCAGAGTAGCTGGGATTATAGTTGTGCATCAATGTGCCTAGGTGAGGTTTGAAGGGTAGTAAAAATGTTCTAAAATTGACTGTGGTGATAGATACACAATTTGATGAATAAACTAAATGCCACTGAATTGTACATTTTAAATGAGTGAATTTTAAAAAATGAGTGAATTATATGTATGGTGTATGAACTATATTTCAATAAAGTTGTTGAGCCTGGAGTGGTGGTGCATGCCTGTAATCCCAACACTCAGGAAGTTGAGGCTGGAGGATCACCATGAGTTCGAGGCCAGCCTGGTCTACATAGTGAATTCCAGACCAGGCTGAACTACATAGCAAGACCCCGTCTCAACAAACAAACAAACAAACAAATCAATAAAGCTGTTGAGACAGAAAAAAGCAGAAAGCCACGAAGAGGGGAGAGCACACAAAAGATCCAGCAAACTAGGAAGAGAACAAATGAGGAAAACAGAGGAGAGAGAACAGAGAAGTATTAAAAAAAACCCAAAAAACAAAAAAACCACCCTCCAAGGGCCGGTGATTTAGCTCAGTGGCACTGCACCTGCCTCGTAAGTGCAAGGTCCTGAGTTCGATCCCCAGTAGTGGGAGGAAAAAGAAAACAACACTCCAATAGCTGAGTGTGGTGAACATGCCTGTAATCCCAGCACTCAGGAGGCTGAGGCAGGAAGATTGCTGCAAGTTCGAGGATAGCATGAACTACATCGTGAGCTCAAGGCCAGCCTGGACTGCATAGCAAGGCCCTGTCTGAAAAAAACCCCAAAAAAACAGAAAATAAACAAAAAGAATAAGAAAACAGATCATAAAAGCCAGCTATAAAAAAGAAAAAACCAAAGATAATATGAAAGTAAAGCGATACTCTCACTAGACAAGAGGACGTGAATAAGAGGGAAGGGTGGCATGGAGGGTAATGGGATCTATACGACCAAAATAATGTTACACATATATATGAAAAAAAAGCTGGATGTGGTGGTGTATACCGGTAGCCCCATCTACTCAGTAGACAAAGACAGGACTGCTTGAGCCAATGAGTTTGAGATAGCTTGGGCAACATAGTGGACCCCTGTCTTCAAAAAATAAAAAAATCAGCAAGGCTTGGTGGTGCATGTCTGTAGTCCCAGCTACTTGGGAAGGTGAGGCAGGATGATCACAAGTTCCAAGCCAGCCCAGGCAATTTAGTAAGACCCTGTCTGTAAATAAATTTTTTTTTGGTACCAGGGATCAAACTAGGGACCTTGCGCTTGCAAGGCAGGTGGCGGAACCACTGAGCTAAATCCCCGGCCCTGTAAATAAAATTTTAAAAAGAGGGACAGAGCCTGGTGTAGTATTATGGCTTGTACCTAGATGTCCCCCCAAAACCTCATGCAGTTGTATGGGCTTTTTGGAGGTGGCTGAATCTAGAGTGTGTGATGCTGGGATTAAGGGTGCCCCACCCTGGTTATGAGTGCTACCCACCCAAGGGCAGGTAGCCTAGAATATAAGGGACAGAAAGAAGGCTGCTGGCTGCTTCCACTTTTTTGCTACTTGTCTGCTGCTGCCTCCTGCCTGCTCTGCAGTGCCCCTCTGCCATGCCATCCTGCCTTGGAGCTAGCCACCTATGGACTGAAACCTCTGTAAACTATGAGCCGAAATAAACCTTTTCTTGTTTAACTTTGGATATTGGGTATTTTGCCTCAGCAACGCAAAAAGTAACTAAGACACCTAGTTATGCGCCAGGCCCTGGGTTCAATCCTTAGTACCATAAAATAAAACAGAACACCCTCC